CCATTTTCGTCTATAAATACTTGGTAGACCTGTAATAATATTATATGGTATGTAAAAGACTTGGCCAAAATGAAATCAACAAAAAATACTGAAATCAAGGACTCAGACTAAGTATATAATATAATTCTAGATATATTTCCCTTTCCTTTTAAAATATCCTTTTTTTTTACTTTTTCTTACAAAATTTATGAGCATTTTACCAATTTTGTAAGGAAAGTGTTTATGTTGATATTTTCTGAAAATTTTTTGATCTGGAACTTTAGTTCAAAATTGTAGTCTGAGTCCAAGACCATGGTATCATATTAAATCAATTATAGTTAACCTGAAATGCGTTGCGTATTAATTTAACCATGTGGGATGGATCTTAAATAGCCATTATTGGATACTTTGTGACTGGATCTTCAAAATTAATTTTTCCTCTCTCAAAGTCACATCCTATGTTTTTCAACATAGTTATGTTAGATGCACAGCCATCAAAAGTTAGTGAAACTATTTTCACACCAGTGTTGTGTATCTTTTCGAGACACTGTTTTAATAGTGCAGATCGTTGTAACCCGTTAACTCCGTCGATCAAAAAATAACCCACAGGCACCTTGAAATTATAGTTTATGCCAGTCACTAAAAAAATGAATGCTTCTTTAGCCTCAGTTATGTGATCACCTTCTATTCCGCTACCAATTTCTACATGCTCGTGAAGTTTGACTCCGTCCCATTCTATGCGAAGTCTTATCGCCATTTCGTCTATAACCAATCCTGCTATGATTGGGTATTTTATAGATCTTGATTTATAGCTAAGGGCTGCAAAAGATTCGTCTGTAAATCCTGGTTCGCCATTAATACTCGTGTACCATTTACGTAAAGTATGAATATGAGGCAAACATGTTTTAAATGTATCTCTTACATAATTGTACGCCTTAGGAGAGTAAAAATGTAATGTTAGTGCAAATGTTCGGAGACCTGGAGAGTAACGCTGTTTGGTTATACCGCCTGACTTTTCTTTTGAAACATATCGACCAATCAACTCCTCTACCTACAAAATAAAAGTGGGCTTACTCAAGAATTTTAGACATTGAAAACTGAATTGTGTAAAAATATAAATTATTATTGGGTAGCTATATTATCTATGTTTATGTCTCAATGTCACTTGCTAGATTATGCACGTCTAATTAGGTAAGAATTTGTTTTTATGTTTAAAAGGTTTTCTTAAAACTTGCAGTTGATTAAAAAGTTAGCCTAAATACCTGTAAATTTGTGCATTTCCGTGCACTTAGTTCTTCTTCTTCCAGGGAACATTTTTTTTTTCTTAAGCATTTATTATGTCCTCCATTTTATATACGTTTTTCTTTAATCGCCGATTTTGTGTTTGTATGTTTTTAATCTTTTTTCTTTGGCGTTTTATGACATTTTCTTTAAAAAATATTATTTGTTTCAGTTTCCTTTTTCTGGGTATAGCGGTACGAAGTTCGCCGGGTCAGCTAGTACATAACAAAGTATTTTGTTACCAATATTCGTTGGCTAGAGTTCTCATCCATTGATACTACAAAAGAAGTTGATGGTTCTGGATCTACAATTTCCTAAAATAAAACAATAGATTTAAGTATATATTATGTCACTAAAAAATATTTATATTTACAGACAAATATTAGCCAATCTGAGTCAACTAATACTAAATGAGATAATCTGTTAAGTTCTCAATTTCTAACCTGAACTTTAATCCGTTTATGTATTAAATGATCGCCTAAGTTCTCTTTGCGTTTCCGTGGCGAAAGAGAAGAATTTTCTGTATCACTCACCTATAAAAAATATGGTATAAGAAATATTTTTTTATTTTTATGTATGTGTATTTAAAATTTATGTTTATGTATTTGTAAAAATGTATATGTATTTAAATCATCATTTCATTAAAAAGTAAATACATACTGTGCATAGAACATTTTTATGAGGAACTGCGCCATCTTTTAAACATCTTTTTTTTTAAGACGTTATTTATCTTCTTCGCTGAAATGTTGTGAACAAATTGTGCTATTTTTGGTCGATGTCCAGTCTTTACGACCAGTAATAGCGATCCACTTTTCACGTAAACCTAGGTCTTTAGGAAAACTGAAATATAAAACAAAAAATTCAAACTGACGGTTTATATATTTTATTTTTTGCTTTTGTTAATCTGATTGAATTTAACTTTTATTATCACAATTTTTATCGTCCTTACTTTTATTTAGTTTTTACTGACTTATACACAAATAATCGATTAAATGTTTCCATGGCACTTCACTAGCGATATACCGTAATCTATTATGTTAATATTTAGAACGGTTATTTCGTGATGTTCTTTACATTACGTGCTTAGAACGACGCAATGTAATAAATATGCGTACTTCGCGAGCAATTTATATTTTCTTGGAAATATTTTTTGTAATTCACACTTTTGATAACATTTCACGAATTTCAACAAAAAATAGTAAATTTGAGCTGTGTTTTACTTACTAATGAAAAGAAATCGCTGCTTTGGACCTACTTGAGGATTGGCTTCTTGTCTTGCAATTAATAACCGCGCAAGCCGGCATTTTTAACACTTTTTGTGGCATGTGTCACGGTACTTACAGCGTGCGCGTTCGTGAATGACTAAACATCGCGATCGCGTGGTGAAGTCACGATCCTGTACATTTGTCCAGGATCGTGGCGACACAGTCACGCCCACAAGGCCTTTCTAATGTCGTTTTATGTAAAAATTCACATTATAGAAATACTTTATCTTATATTGTCTAACATTATATTATAAAAATATAAATAAATATATAATAACATACTATACTCCAGTCATTTAACGGATTCACCTTCGTTTTAGCTCCGAGTAGCTCGGTGGCGTAGTGGATAAGCGCCGCGGACCGCAATCGTTGTCGTTAAGCAACTTTCGCAAGGGTCGGTCACGGGATGGATTACCAAAAAATTATTATCTCGAGCTACTCCGTGCTTCGGAAGGCACGTTAAGCCGATGGTCCCGACTGCATTTGCTGTCGTCAATACCCTCCAATCCGCATTGGGCCAGCGTGGCGGGTAATGGACCATACTCCTTAGCCATCCATAAGGAAGGCCACATCCATAGGGACGCCCACTGCAGGGGCTCAGGCCTTCATCATCATCATCAGTCCTTTTACGTCTAAAAGGGCTTATGATGATGATGATGATGACCTCCGTTTTATGTAAAACTGCATTGATTGATTTAAAATTTTGACAGTAGTTCTAAAATGAAATAAATATACCAAACCTGACTTAGGCACTAATGCGCTTTTACCCTGGTGAACCTTCTCGGGGGTGAACATTTATATTATTAAAGATCCGGATTGCGAAAGGTAATGGGTTCGATTTCCATGTCAGAGTGCCAGGGACAAAGTAGATTTTTTAAGTATTTCTCATCAAGAATAATAATAATAAATTCGAATTACACAATTTTTTCTTTTCAAGATAATTGCATATTTTATGTAATACGAATTGTGATACCAAAAATACTACAAAAGAATGTACTACAAGAACTATACATCATATAGATATAGTGAAGATGAAAGCATTTGCTATAAACGACATATGTACGGTGGCGAAACAAAGACATTGAGAGGATGGTACGAGAATGCAAAATAGTTACAAAAGAACCAATATGTTATACACAAAACAAATACATAGCTGGGAATACACAAAAGAGGTAAGGAGTAGAATCCACATGGAATATGCAATATTTGACTTACCGATAACTATTGTATTAGATAATGGAAGACAATTTCGCTCAGACGAAATGATAAATTTTTTAAAAGAAAATTGAACACATTCTAAGTTTACACCACCATTCTATCGGCCAACAAATGGTCAGGCAGAGAGATATGTTTAAACTTTAAAAATAAACTGAAAAGTACGCTTTATGAAAAAGGAACTTTACAAGAAAAAATTGCAAGATTCTACATGACTTACTGAAAAATACCTAATAATACTGCTGGATTATTGTGCTTTTGTGCGTAGTCATTTGGAGTATGCCTCAAAAGTTTGGAATAATGTCTATACAAAAGCGTTACTTGCAACATAGTACATTAAATTTTTACTCCTGATTATATTCAGCGTTATCATAAATTCCATAGCCTTCCGCTAAGTGAGAGATTTATTGATCATCCCGATCTATTTGGAGCGCATTTGTTTACGGGTTCCGTATGGTGGTGGCAGAGGAAGGAGACATTGCAACTAACATATAGCATTGTGTAAAGTCAATTATAGTTTACTGACATAGTGAAGAACCTAGTCATTGACTTATTCATTACAACAGCCGTTCAGTTACAACGTATGATAACAATCTATTGTTTCTTAAATATTGCCTAGTGTATCATGTTATAATTGTAATTTTTATTTATTAGTATAATATACAGTACGGTTCTTTTTATGTTATCAAAATGTTTTTAAATTTTGTTTTTTTTTTAATATCCTTCAACATTCATATCTTTGATATATCCAAAAACGCAACTGCAAATTTTAAAATTAATGAAATTAAGCCCATCAGAAATTATGTTTTAGAGATTATACAGAATAAGAATTGATTTAATAAAAACTTAAAAACAATATTTAAAACCCACTTCAAACTTTAATAAAGTGATAAATAATACTTATCTCAAAAGCGACTTATTCAAGAAAATGGTATTGTAGTCGGGCGGAGATCTTCTGTAGGTTTATTAATTAAATGATAAGCATTCGACTTCAACGAAGACAACGACTTTTAGATGAAGAATACACTAATAAAAAGGGACAATTAGATCCAAAAAAGAAATGAATACAAGATGTAGTGATATAACTGTTCACGTAAATGTCGTCAATTGAAAACAGATGACCAAAGATATTTATTACTGACGGGATTTTGGAATTGAGGCAAAACCTTCCAGAAATTTCCTATTTTAATTAGTTGTCCATCAAGTCCATCGGTCGTTTCATCTCTTTTGCCTCAGCGTGTTATAAACCATAATCGAGATATGGCAGCACCATTAAATCCGTCTAGTAACATCAGTAAAATTTCAAAGCCATTTACCAGATCATTAGTTCGTGTGATTGAAAAAGAGTTTCTTCTAACTCCAAAGGCTAATAAGAAACTAAGTCCCAAAGTTATTATACGTAGACTTAAATATCGCATGAACAAGATTCTACAGTTACAGAGAAAAAAGTTTGATGTATTAAATAGCGTCAATGAACGACCACGAACAGTTAAATAGACTAAAATATCAAAGTGCCACGTTAAGAAAATATTAACTTACAATTAAAACCAATACTGACGATATGAATCAACAAAAGAAGCAGAAACTATAAAAACAATAAGAAATAATTTAGAAGAGGCCATTATACTATTCCTTGAAGAAGATGAAAACAGTTGTATGTGTTCTGGAAAGAAGGAGTTCATTACGAACAAAAAAGATAAAAAACAAAGATGCTACTTAAACGATTCCTTAAAAGACCAGCCATTTCTTACACACAATATGTTCAAAATTATATGTCCTATCTTAAAATTTGGGGTATAAAACTTTTTTATTGCATTTCATACTATTTCATATTTTTTACCTAAACGGTAATAATATAATATTTACTAAACAATTTAAATTTACCAGCAAAATCTAATTAATTCAACTAATACTAACAGCGCTTCTGCTTTAAATGCAAGCAATTCGAACTATCTCGTTAAATTGGTACCGGCATGAACCCGATCTTCAGCCGCTCTTAAGAATAAAGGGTATAATAGTAATATTTAGTAGTGTTCTGTGTTTTATGTTATTTCCACATATTATTAATGTTATCCAGTATTAAAAATTGTAAGTATTAAATGGGATTTATTTGTAGTTATATAATAATTAGACGTTAATAATTTCATTAATAAGATAGGACAAAATGAATTACAGTTTGTTTGTACCTAATGTAGGTGTCGGTTTAAAAATTGAAGCAAGATAATGCTTTTTGTTTTTAGTGTCCATAAAAAAATTATTTTATTTTTTTATATTGTTTGAAACACAATTATTAATATATTTTTTTAATACAGGACAATAAGTTGTCTATAGGTAGACGTTTAGTTCAAGCGGTACGTGATGCTAACGGAAATAATGAAAGAAACGAAAACACATCGGCAAAATAGGTAGCACTACTTAATATGACTTGAATTAATGATGGTCTGAGCCCCTACAGTGGGGACGTAAAAGGGCTGATGATGAAGTACCTATTTCTCACGAAAATTTAATATTAGGCAGATTATACTTTTTTGTTCACCGAACATTAACGACTATCAGAAATGTATTCCCGAGGTACAACAAACACTCCCTGTTATAGTGTTGACTGAAGATTCTTGATTTACGGATTATGTTTCTCTATATTCATTTAATATTGAAGAAGGACATCTTCCCGCTACAGATCATATAAGTCCACGTTGTGTTCTTCAGAACAAGAAGTTTTACCAATACAACTAGAGTTCGCACACGATACAAACTCCGAAAGCTCAAGGGAACAAAACATTTATTTAGAAAAAACAATAAACGATTCTCAGGAACCAATTACGTTTACAAATACTCATGATCATGAATGGCCGCTGTCTTCAGCTATTCTCGAAAACGAATCTGAGAAATTGGAATTACGTATGGAACGTACGTGGGATTCAGAAAAGCCGGGTCTACAGTTATACCTAGGGACATACCAAGGATATACCAAGGGACGAACGTAAAATAAAACCAACTCGCATGAGTACTGCCTGTGCTAACTCAAAGAAACGAAATTGCCAATATTTCACCCAAGAACAGAGATAATCATTCTACCAATGATTTTGGGGCCTAACTTGGGGAGAGCGCAAAGCATTTGTTTGATACGTGGATACGTGACTAAGATTGCTAAAAAAACAAACACAACCGATGGTGACTCGAGGCGTAATTTTACGTTAAGTTATAATTTGAATAATGGGCAACAAAATTATCAAGTTTGTTTGTTAATGGAAAAAAAAAAATTATCAACTTGATAGGTCGGCTACAGAATGGTCCAATCGTGGGTGAACGAAAGCTCTCATGGAATTCCAGCTACAATAAAAATCAAAAATACTTCCGTTAATAGTGTAGTGAGGTCACAGGAAGATTTTTTAAGTAACTTTTTGGATAGTTTACCAAAAATGCCATCACATTACAATAGACAAAATTCAACAAAACTGTACCTAGAACCAGTTCTTCAGACTATTAAAGTTGTTTATAAACTTTATTTAGTTAAATGTAATGAAACCGGAAAACCAAGTTTTAGTCGCAAAAAGATTAGTGAAGTTATGAGCAGCAAAAATATTTCCTTGTTTAACGTCATAAAAGATAAATGCAATTTGTATGTGCAATTTACGAAGCAGGAAATCTACAGGAAGAGTCTTGGAAAGAACACATAGAGAAGAAATAAAAAGCTAGAAAGGAAAAACGGGAAGATATAGAAAAAGCTAATAGAGGAGAAATAATATTAATAGAAGTAGTCTTCCAGGCAGTTAAGCTAGTGCCATTTACTCATGCTAATAAATAACTACAAAACAAAACTAGCCTGCCATAACTCTACAATATACGATATCGTAAAAAAACAATCAACTTGTTACTGGTTCTCCGAAGACTAAACAATCAATTAGTAGCATCTACTTTTGTCTCATGTTTGATTCATTATCTGGAAAAAAAATGCATAACTGCAGAAAAAAACCTATCATAATATTTTCTGATGGGTGCACTGCTCAAAACAGAAATAATGTGATGGCAAATGCTCTGCCAAATTTTAGTATGCTTCACGGAGTTTTGATATATCAAAAATATCTTGAGGTCGATCATACGCAGATGGAAGTGGATTCTGTTCACGCATGCATCGTGAGAAAATTAAAAAAGAAAGTAATCAAACTTTTTTATGATAATTTACCCTGCCAAGACTAATAAGAGTAATGTTTCTTTAATCTTACCAAAGTTCATGTTGATTTTTGCTATTATTATAATTTAATATGTAATAATACAAATTATTATAATCTGTAATTTTTTTAACTGTACGGTGTATGTACAATAAAGAATATTTCATTGATTCATTCATTCATAACTGAAAGTGAAATTTATCCTATCTTGAATATTGATTTTCTTTCTATAACTTCGGACCTTTTGCATCGTTTAAAATATCCTAAGTGGGACTTACAGCTGATTCATAATGTCATAACTCGATTTTCTAATTAAAATGATTATTAAATAAAAAAATGACTTTAATTTCTAATAGAAAACATATATTAAATCAACTGTTTTTTTATTTGGGATAAATCACTCCAAAACTATTAATAATTACGTATTTTCTACTTCCTGAAAAGTTGTCAAAATTGAGATAACACAATTTTCCAGTTCACAGTCGATATTTGATGGTTTCGGTGTTAAGAATATTGATTGCGGTGGACACCATTTTTTTTTAATGATTACCATCTTATCTATTCGGTCTATGTGGTTCCCTTTACTACTACAATGTTTTTATTAAATATTGATTTGTGACATAATGTTAATAAGGCTGAAACTACATACAAAAAAAAACATATTATCACCGAAGTCAACCTAATAATGACCCACAATCTTTATTTGGAATGGATCAATGAACAATTTTGGTATTGTGATTGAAAAGTCGCTACCTAACGGTAATTCAATATTGATTTTAATAAACCTAAAAAAGATCAATGTCCCCGATGAGACATATTTTAAAACGCAACGGAAAATGGCACGGTACTCTGATAAAGTTTTCATCTCAAGTTGTAGACTTAGGCATTTGTATCGACAGCATGTTAAACTGGCAGGTGCAGATTGAGTCTATTAGTCACAGAGTCATCGGTACCCTTAGGTCTTTCTACCAGTTAAATTTTTTTTAACATCAATATTCATCATCACTCCTTTGAAGTTGGCCATTCACAATCAGAGTGACCCTATCTATGCATGCAATTATAGAGCGGAGAAAGAAAAAAAAATACATTTCTCAGCAACGGGTGACATTGATCAGATGCGAAAATCGAATGGTAAGCCTAATGTTATCAAGGAGGTTAATCAAGATATGAAATTAAACTTTACAGTGCTTTTGCGTTGTTGCAATTGGGAAAAAGGCATAAATAATTAAAAAATCTCAAGGAATAAGGTCATGCATATCCACTTTTAGCTTTAATTTCCAAACATCATAACATTTTAATACGACTCCCTCAGTGAGAGTGAAATGGCATTAGATCTCTGCAGCAATGAGCAGTTCCTGCTCGAGTCGTCAAACGTCGAGCAGTCGTAGGGTCTCAATACACTATTATTATTTGTGTATTATTACAAGGCGTACTATACTACTTTATCTTTATCAATAGCAAAATACAATGACCTAATAAGCATCTATAAATGTAATGCTATTCTAGCAATATACCACAGTTATTATCTGGCATTACCGCATATTACAGCTTTAAGGAAAATTTCGATTCGTCGAAGTCATTTAGTTTTTTATATAAATAACTAAAAAAAATATTTAAAAACATAAATGAATATTATGAATATATTAGATGTAAAATATAATAATAAAAAATTTATTTTCTCATCACACAGAGTAATGTCTTACGTGCTACATAGTTAGTTACAAACACAGTTGTTCTTGAGGTTTTGGTGTGAGACTGATGCCTAAGTTAGAGAATCAGAAGATTATCTGTATTAAGGGTGTCAGGCCTCCACTCCCGACAAAAGAATGACATAATAATGTTATAACTAACTACTTAAGGGTACAATAGTGGATTTTATACAAATTATATGATGAACTATAGAATATCATAGTATAGAATATCAAATTAAGGGGAAAGTATTAAAAATTCGCATGAAATCAGGTTGCGTTGGAATCAACGAAATTTTAGTGCCAAGAAGACAGAAGAAAACGAACAAGCAGCAGCACAGACCGGTCAATTTGAAGAAACAAAAATTGATGACCATTGAATTTTTGAAAATATGCCGAAAAATGTATACCAAGTTCATCTAAAGACACTTCTGATATCACTTCGACTATACATATATCTAATAAATTTAACAAGAGTTTTAAGTAGGACCAGGTCTCCAACATTGAAAGGTTCTGCTGGTTGTCGCGACTGGTACGAGTGAACCGTGGTCAAATTCCCGTGCGCTTCAAGGACAGTGCGTCCTTGTCGCACCCGGCCTGTCTCTTTCTAGCGGAGTAGGTCAACAGTTCGCCTGAGTTCGCCGATGCAATCGGACTGTTATAACTGTCAACATAATTTCGCGCCGCGTAGCACTCACAAGTACTACATTTAGTTTAGTTTTTGGGCTTAAACTTTTTTAATAAAATTATTATATGAGTGATTGTATAATAAATAATAAACAGTTACTGTGTTACTACTCGGATTTTCAATCGCTCTCCGATACAGACCCACATATATGGCGCACCAACGTTTTGTTGTGTAGTGTTACCGCGTGTGCAATCAGTGTTTTAGTGTTAAAATACACCTATTTAAGGACGATTGCCTATCACGAGGAGTAGAGCGGTTAGTCCCACGCGCAAGGAAGATGAAGAAGCAACTAACCCGTTACGATCGATCGAAATCGAGGCGTCAGCGGCAGCGTCACCATACTCACAAGATGGCGGCGATTTTCTCTCGCCCATACGGGGCGACGCCAACACCACATTTTCGGGAGAAATGTGGCGTCAATCATCGCCATGCTGCAGCGCTCACAAAAGGAGTCTTTTAAAGAATTACTCGAATCCGTGACTCGGATGAATTCGACAACCATCTCCGAAGGCTCTACGCTGGCACGCTGTAAGGCGACATTTTCGGGCAAACCGGAGGAATCCGTGGAAAATTTTATCGACGCCGTTGATGCGTTCGCACAGTGTGCCCAAGTGTCTGACACTAACATCCTCCGAGGACTGGCGTTCCTTTTTAAAAACCAAGCTGGAACATAGTGGCAAGGAATTAAAGATACCGTGACTACTTAGAGTCAGGCCAAACAAAATCTTATAAGCGCTTTTGGCGACCGCCGGCCACCCCACCGCATATACTTAGAAATCTTCGCTGTACCTCAGAAACATGTTCGTCACGCCAGTACGCGCCCTCCTGGCTAGACTGCCTAAAAATGATTTATCACTCTCAGCACAGTTAGATATAACTTACGGCCTACTCAACGCCCGAATCAGGAAGAGGCTGAGACGAGAAGAATTGTTTAATTTTTCAGATTTATTACGACTGGCACGTGCAATCGAAGACGCTTTCGACGAGAAACTATTATCCAACCCAAATTCGAAATCAGTTTCTTATACGCAAGCCGCGCAGCCCACTTCGACGCCTGTTGACGGCGGGAAAGCGAGACCGCGCGCTCCGGAGACCCCGGGTTCGCCGGCAAGCGCGGGCAGCGGCGCGCCCGCTCCTGTTATACGACGTTCTCCCGCGCCGCCTTCGTGCTCGACGCCGCCGACGCCGGCTGTCTCTACGACGAAGAAAACCCATCCGTCTTGTGTCTACTACAAACGGTTTGGACATACGAGAGACCAGTGTCGTAAGTTACAGGACCAACTCGGTGAGCCAAAACCTTTTAGTAACTCTGCAGAAGTGCGCAATAACAATAGTGCCAGTGATAAATTACGCGAGCAAAATCAGTCATTTTACGCTCTTGACTCTCGTAATAACGTACGTAACCCAAGTTTAGTGACGTCACCTTTTTCAACGAAATACTCTAAGAACTCTAATGTAGTGAATACCTATAGTAGGCACGAGCCTGATATCATGTTACCATTCGCAAATAACGTAGGTAACAATAATAATAGCTCAGTCTGATCAGCTGTTTGTACAAACAATGTAAATGGCGTATCTCATGTTTGTTTACAAAATAATAGGTACTCTTATTTTTCAAATAATATTGTTCCTACCAAATCCCAGGATGCAAATGATAATAACGTAACTTGTTTTAAAAATTTAGGTTGTACGCTGGAGAAGTACTATTGCAGTAATAAATATAATTCATCTTTTGTTTCAAATAAGGCTGGGCATAATTGTTCTTGTAAAAATTTTGTTTACGATGATGATGTCCCTAACCCTTCATTGTCCAATGATGCAAATAATTTTACATGTAACGTTTTTGTTAATGATAATAATGTACCTAATTTGTTAAATAGGGATGTGCCTAACTTATTATTAGATAAGGATGTACTTAATTTATCGTTAAACAGAGATGTTGATTGCTTACCGTTACATAGTGATGTACCTATTGTTTCTTTGAATAGTGCTGTGCATATGTATCTTTAGTGTATTTTAGTTTTGTCGTTTTAATTCGATTAGCGGATTTAAATAACAAGACAACGACTTACAATTTCTGGCGTTTATTTTCCACGCGCAACAAGTAACATGTACACTACACAAACACACAGAAAGAGTATTTTTACGCACAAGCACAAGACAGTTAATATAGCCACATAAAGCACAAATTACAGACATAAAATTGTTTTTGTGAATTTTGAAAGCGAGAGGTCGTTTCTAGAAGTTTGAACTTAATTGCTAAGCAGCAAGCGCTCCGCGTCGTAGTATAGTTTCGACTGGTGGTACACGTGAGCTGCGCCGGCGCATCGGCCGGTGGCCGAACAGGTTTTTAAGATGCGCGTTTCCAAGGCGGGGCACGTCACCCGTCTGGTATACGTTTTTAACGAAATAAAATGCTTGATGTCTTACAAGTTATCGTGTTATGAATTTTGATATTATAAATAAATATAAGTGTGTATATATAGTTAAATAGTTATATTAAGTTTTAATATGAGGTAAATATGTAAATAATTAAATGTAAATAATAATTATAAATGTAATAAAATAAATGTAGGAAAATCACCTACACCACCCCCCTCCAGAGACCGTCAAGGGCGATAAAAACTAGTAAATCTAACATGACGTCCACTACGCGTTATTCGCTCCTTTTGTATGTCAGGCTCGGGAACGGGTTCTTCACAATGGTCTGATAATATATGTGCCGGTTTCAACCTATCTATCGACACCGTGACGTCTTTACCATTAAGTAATATTTTAAATACTTTGTCACCTCTGGTCAATACCTTATGTGGGCCGGTGTAAGCTGGAGTCAATGAACCTCGTGATGCATCTTCTCGAAGGAAAACAAAATCACAGGTGCTAAGCTCCTTATAAATAAATACTTTTGGGCTGCTATGCCGTGAAGCGGGTACTGGACGCAAATTTTTCGCGAAATCTCTAATTCGAGCCGAAAATTCCGACAAGTCAATTGTGCCGGGAACGGTAGGCTCAAAAAATTCGCCGGGCAGCCTTAATGGCTCGCCGTATACTAGTTCGGCAGAAGAAGCTTGTAAGTCTTCTTTAAATGCCGTTCTTATGCCTAATAACACCCACGGTAATGATTCGGTCCATCTGTCATTAGCGTGGCATACTATTGCTGCTTTCAACTGTCGGTGGAAACGTTCTACAAGTCCGTTACATGTTGGATGGTAAGCTGTTGTGCGTTTGTGCTCGAAGCCAGCTATTTTCGACAAACACTTGAATAAGGCCGACTCGAACTGACGACCTCTGTCCGTCGTGATGGTCGTCGGACAACCGTAACGAGCTATCCAAGTAGACAGCAAGGCTTTCGCCACTGTTTCGGCAGTTATGTCTTCTATGGGTACAACTTCTGGCCATCGTGTAAAGCGATCAATGGCAGTCAGACAGTACCGATAACCCTGCAACAATGGTAGTGGGCCGATCAAGTCGATATGAATTTGCTTGAATCGTGTTCGTGGTAGATGGTATGTACCTAATGGTGCTGTTACGTGGCGATTTACTTTAGCACGTTGGCATGAGGTGCAGGTGCGAGCATATTGCTTGCAGTCTTTTTTGAGGCCAGGCCAAGTGTAACGCTCGGAAACTAATTTAGCGGATGCATTCGCACCAGGGTGGCTAAAAGAATGCAAGCTGTCGAAGACTTGTTTTCTGTAAAATTTTGTGACGTATGGCCTGGGTGTCGGGGTACTGACGTCGCAGTACAGAGGAATACGGCTCCCAGGTACTTGTCGTTTCTCCAATCGCAGACAGGACCCGTCTTTCAAAAGGTTGGCGAGTTCCGGGTCGGAAATTTGACTCTTGGCTAGGGACTCAAGAGTCGTTGGTGCGCTCAGCTCTTCGATGCGTGATAAGGTGTCGGCCACGACGTTATTCTTACCCGATATATGACGTATATCGGTGGTAAATTGAGCGATGAAGTCGAGGTGTCTATACTGCCTAGGCGAACAGTTTGTTTTTCTTTCGTGAAAGGCGAAAGTAATAGGTTTATGGTCAGTATAGATAATGTAGTGTCTAGCCTCAAGCATGTGCCTAAAACATTTAATCGCCTCGTATATGGCGAGTAACTCACGGTCGTATGGTGAGTACTTCTCTTGTGAGGGACTGAGCTTCCTAGAGAAGAAAGCTAAAGGTTCCCATGCGTCCTCCTTTAGCTGCTGCAATACTGCACCGATCGCCTTGTCCGATGCATCGGTAACCAGTGCGAGTTTGACGGCACAATCGGGGTGAGCAAGCATGGTGGCCTTAGACAAGTTTTCTTTGCAGGCGTCAAAGGATGCTAATGTGTCCCCTGTCAAGGTGATAGGGTGAGAACCTTTTACATTACCTGTAAGGAGAGCATTTAGTGGCGTCTGAATTTGAGCTGCTTGAGGAAGGAACCGCCTATAAAAATTCACCATACCCAAGAATCGTCTAAGTTGCCGCACAGTAGTCGGGGCAGGGAACTGCTTAATGGCCAGTACCTTAGATTCCAGGGGTCGGGTGCCGTGCTCTGAAATGTGGTATCCCAGAAATGTAACCTCACTGGCACCGAACACACATTTGGAAGTATTTACCAGCATCCCGTACTTCTTCAGCCTTTCGAAAATGGTGCGAAGGTGTATCTCATGCTGGGCGGCCGACCTTGAGAAAACCAAATAGTCATCCAGGTAACAGTAGACGAAATCAAGTCCCCTAGTCATCTCATCTACAAATCTTTGGAATCTTTGGCCCGCATTTCGTAGACCAAAAGTCATGTACGGGAATTCAAACAATCCAAAGGGCGTGGTGATCGCGGTTTTCGGGATGTCTTCAGGACTTACTGGTACCTGGTTATAAGCTTTCACAAGATCAAGCGTGCTGAAAGCTTTGCACCCTGCAATGCTGTGTGCAAAGTCATGGATGTGCCTTATGGGGTATCTGTCAGGCACTGTTCGCGCGTTGAGCTTGCGGTAGTCACCGCATGGTTCCAGCCGTTGTCCTTCTTCGGTGCTAGGTGTAATGGAGATGCCCAAGGACTCTCAGATGGTCGTGCTGTACCATTGGCCAGCATCGCTTGGAACTCTTGACGAGCTATCTTCAATTTGTCAGGAGCTAAACGCCTAGGGGAACAAGACACAGGAGGGCCGGGTGTGGTGCGAATATGGTGTACTGTGTTGTGAGGTGTAGTGGTATGTATACAAGCAGGGCGTGTTATTTCTGAAAATTCGTCTAATATTTTATGGTAACGAGTATCACCAGATGAAACCTTTACAGAGTAAACATTTTTAATATTAGCAAAGTAAGCTACAGCGCATATGGAAGTAGTATTATCAATAAGCTTTTTATTTCTAATGTCTACAATTAGCTAATAAAAGTTTAAAAAATCTACACCAATTATTGGTTTTGTAACTTCAGCAACTACAAACCGCCAAGCAAAATTTCTACGCAAATCAAAGTCTAAATTTAAATGTACATAACCATACGTCGCTATGTTGGAACCGTTAGCTGCACACAGTTCAAAGTTGGTCCGGGCCCGACGATCTCGAAGTGAAGACCGAGGAAAGACACAGAGGTCGCTACCTGTGTCGACCAAGGATTGCGTTTTTGATGCACGATCCGTCACGAAGAGGCGACCCGTGGATGAAGATGAGCAGTTGTCAGTCGCCATTATCGACTGCTCCCGGCGTTTCCCGCCTTATAATCACAAGGCCGGATGCATTTTTCGGCCTTCTCCCCAAACTTGCCATGATACCAACAAAGCGGGAACTTCCGGTAGTTGGAGTTCGACCGCTTTCTTGAGGTGGAGGAAGATCGGCTCCTGGGCCGCCACGAGGAACGATGTTGTCCCCTGCTGCATCTGTCCATGGACATCTTCTGAATTTGCCGTCTAAGTTCAGCAATCTCTTTTGTCAGTTCGCCAACAACGGAGGTGGGTACTGAATCACTGACAGCTGCAACCCTTGGCGTCGTAGAGGCGAGATCATGAACACGATCTGCGAGGTCCGCCAGATCATCTGTGGTACTGGTAGATGGTTGACCGGCGAGCACCGTCTGTATGCCGTGAGAGAGTCTACTGATCCATATAGTCTTCAGGAAGTCATCAGTCAAGCCCTTTAAGATGACGAAGAAACTGGGATGGTTTTCGATCTCCTAGCTCTTCATGCATCAACAACTGCTTCAGTTTTTTCTCATTGGATGCCGACAATCTTTTAATTAGCTTCGTCTTAAGCTTTCCATATTTATCAGTTGGCGGCGGGCTGATGATGATATCTTTGACCTCTCTCGAGAACTTATTATCGAGCTGGCTTATGACGTAATTAAATTTGGTCGCGTCACTAGTAACACCGGAGATGGCAAATTGACCCTCCACCTGGGCGAACCAAATTTCTGGCTCCTCTGGCCAGAAAGGAGGTACTCGTACGCCTACTATAAAAACTTCAGGCTGATCAGTTCCGAATTGACGTCCGGCAAAATTCTCGTCCGAGTCCGTGGAAACGCGCCCGTCTCGGGTGTGGCTTTGTGCGTCTTTAAATGCTTTATCC